TCAACCAATTGAAGGATGGTGCTCTAAAATCGGGAAATGGAGAGTCTTCTTCGCTGGAAAGAGGGGCGTTTCGATTTCTAAAAATTATCTTGTTGATTCCGTTGCCCACACAGACTTCTTAGCTACAAAGAAAACTGAAGTTCAAATCTAGGAAGGGGAGTGGGTAATTCCGGTCTGGTGCTTCAAAATTGAAAAATGTCAGACGCGATTTCACGTGAATCGTCTTCGGTCTGACGTCTCTGCATACAGCCACGAAGTAGTCGTTTTTTTGGCCAGGTGAAGAGCTTTCTTCGCATCAGTGCAGCTGAAGATTGAAGCAGTGATGGGAAAACGGAAGCTTGATAGCCGGAGTCGTGTACGATGATCAGTGAAAATCTTGAAGGCGTGAAAGACGGTGAGAGTAAAGTTGTTGGTTTGGTAGGTGAAGTGTGCACTTGAAAAATGAATGTCAGGGGCAAAATGGCCCATTTCCACTGCTACCTCACAGGGAGTGTACGTTTCATGTCAGGGTCACTATTGTAACGTTCGGAAAAATTATTCTTTTTTCGAAAAAAATGAGCCCCAAACACAGGCTATGTTTGGAGAGTGAACATTTTGGTTTGATCCCTATTTTTTTTAATAAATTTTTTTTCTATCTTCTTTTCCATTACAATTTTTTTAATAAAATAATATTATACGCAATTCAACAAAAATTTCTTCATTTTTAACCACACTCTCCATCAATCTATTATTTTAAAATNAATAAAATAATAGTATACGAAATTCAACAAAAATTTCTTCATTTTTAACAACACTCTTAATCAATCTATTATTTTAAAATATATTTTACACAAAAAGGGACTCAAACAAGCCCAAAGTTAATAATTAATTTTAATCATACATTTTATAAGATTCAAAACTTTTCAACCATACATTTATCAACTTTTACTAAAATTCTGCAAGGCCTTGATATCGACTTTTTATTAGAAAACAATTGATTTAACTTTCAATTAAATAAGATTTTTCGTTCAATGGGATGCACATGTACCCTTGTTTATCTAACCAATTGATATATGAAATCCAAACGAAATAAGATGTTATTTAGCCCCCTTTTGGTGACAATTAAAATCAGATTTTTAGCAGACTTTAATAAATATTGATGAAATATGTGGTTGAAAAGTCATGTGTCTTATAAAATATGTGGTTAAAAATTAATTATTGATTTTAATTAAAATTAAAATCTGAATTTTAATTTCCACCAAAAGGGGACTTAATGTCAAAAAATAATTTTTTTTTTGTAGATATGCAATTTACTATATTGAAAATTACATTTTATTCGTGATAATTATCATTAAAATGCAATGATTTATCAAGTCCCTGTTTGGTAGGGATTAAAACCTAAATTTTAACTGAAAATTAACAATTAATTTTAACATAAATTTTTATGGGATCTACAACTTTCCAACCATACTTTTTATCAATTTTTATCAAAACTTGCTATAAATCTGATTTTTAATCCCCACAAACAAGAGCTAGGTAAATTGTTCCATTAAATTTATTGCAATTAACTATTGGGATTGCACGTTTCTGTTAAATTTTGGGAAGCCAGGGAGGATCGAATATTTTGGTTCCACCAGAAAAGTTATTGTATGTAATAACATGAAGTGATTAGTACTTCTTCTTGACCATTGGAGGAATAATCATGTTACTTGTACAATTTTAATTGACAACTTTGCATTCGACTTCATCACATTCATCGATTTTAAAAATTGTTATTTTTTTTTAAATCAACTGTTCGAATTTTGACAACACCAAAGTTGTCAACAAGAATAGCACAAATAATATAATTGTTAGAGGAATGTACCTTGAACGATGGTGAGATTGCATGGTTTGAGAGAGAGAATCTCCACAGAATCTTTCAATCTTGGTCCTCGAACCTATCAATTATTTACACGAAGAAAAAAAAA